AATAAATATGATTGTATATTGTCAGCAGCGCATCCTATCGTTGGGTAAATTCAACCACGTTCATTTTTAGAACTAGCTCCAGCCATAACTTTGACCATAAAGGAGTAGACACAGTGTAATGTCAAATGGAATGTAATGTCAAAATCTCACGACGTATAAGAATCGTTTGGGTGTACATTTCAAAAGAATTTTAAAACTCGGACTATTTTTTCTAGCTGTCTCGACCACCCACTCCGATGCCATTCTGCTATCAGATAGGAGTGGCTTGTAGAAACTGGGTCTAAATGTCACAAGTCAGCTGAGCTCGACAAGTCCTTCCCCAAGGTCAGGCAACACTCAGACTGGAGTGAGTGTGTGCACTCAATAAGACTAGTCAAATCTAAAATGTACATGGATATTTTCGCCCTGGAAATCCAGCCTAATTCACATTTGCGTTTGAACAAATCTCACATCACACCAAAATCTTCCTATTATTTTCCTTTTTTTAATCCACCTAGGTTCCTGAATTGTTTATTATCCATTAATTCATCGTTAATTTATCATTTTTTAAGACAGCACTTGAGGATGATTCGTACATCAATGATGCGATGCTTCGGGTTAGGTGTGATTTGAAGTCCAATAGTTTATTTTCTGCAATTCCTTCATTACAATCAACCAAACAACTGATCAAGCAATTCTTTAACCCAGCAACGACCAAGGTATGTATTTGAAGCTTATTGTGATTTGAAAATGCAAGGAGAGTACAAAATGGAGTAAGATTTGTGTATTTTTGTTACCGGCTAAGATCAGACCAATAATTAAATGGCCAATGATCCAGAATTTCTGGGTCCAGTTTTGAACCATCAAAAAGCCGACTTTTCTCAGGATCAGTGCTATAAAGCTGGACCCCACTTCATACCAAATGAAGTAGTTCGATTCTTTTCCTATTCTTCTATAATCCACCCAAGTCCTAGATTTGTTCATATAGCCTATCCAACATACGTTGAAGAAAACATACTGAGGAGAAGAGATCAATTTTACAGACACTTTTTGAAAAAGGCAATTGAAGACCTTGTGTAGCCATTACAGTAATTTTGCATTTGTTTCTTTTTCTTTTTGGTATTTTTTAAATCACGGAACGACAATCTGATTATTTATTACCGGTACAGCATAATTCAATTGCCCTTGCTGAGAGTAACTATACTTACTCTTAAAAAGTATTGAATTTGATCTACACCTTTGGAATAGGTAAATATAAAAGTAGAGAGCACAGTATAATACCCCCGCCGCAGCAAACCTGCCGACTAAGCGAATTTCCATTTGTGTGAATTGATTTTCAGTAATATATATTTTAATAACATTAGGTTTAACGAGTACCTAGGTTTGCTGCTACAAGGAAACTAATAAAGTGTGTTTTTAAGTAAAATATTGATAGCTTAGTACAAAATAAATCAATTTGCAAAGTTTGATCAAAATATATCCATAAACAAGCAAACTACAACATTTGACAATATTCTCCATAAGAATAACATGGGAATTTTAAATTTACAATTTTTTTAATTTTCTCCGTTACTAATAATCGAAAAAAAAATACTTTTATATACTTAATTATTAGTTTTTTTAAGCTCTTTAAAAAGGTTCAAAGAGAAATCGGGAAATTTTGTGTTTTGAGGGTCAAAAGTGAGAAAACCCAATTTTTACCCCATAAAACCCCCCGTAAAGCCCCGTTCCCATGGTCCGATCGTGCTGGTTCGCGAACTCATTCAAGTTTATCCCGCTTTACACCTTTAAACCAAATTTCATCAAAATCGGACAAAAATTACTCAAGTTATCGCGTTCACGGACGTATATATATACTTATATATACTTATATATATACTATATATATACTTATATATATATATATATACATATATAAAAAATTGAACGAATGGTGTTTTTGGCCTCTGGGGACATCAAAATGAAAAAGTAAATCGGTCCCGGGTCTAGGTCTTACCGTGCCACCTACGGTAATAGCTACTTCCCTATAGGAGGTTCCACGCACAAGCCTCTGATGCTCATGTAGGTATGCCAATTCAATGTTAAAAGCTGCTGTCAACCTTTTAAAGTAGGCCTATATGTAAATCCTCTAAATATATTTATGTATAATAATATGGGATTTTGTCACAATTTGTTACCGTAACTGGCGTAACTATACTAATTTTTGTGGCAGTTATATTAAACTCTAACTCAAACAACGCACGAAGGGTATTCCACCTAGTGTAAATAATGCCAACGGAATTTCAAAAGAGAGGTAGAAGATGTATACAAAAGGATCTTTTGAATTTAAAAGATATCAAAATACATGCAATGGTTAAGAGTGACAATTTTGGGAAAAATATTATTCTTCTATACATATACAGACTTTTCTCTGAGAATTACTGAATTTATTCGTATAAGTTTTCTTCAAGTGCCAAACTAATACATCAACATTACCAACTTTATTACATTGTCGTTAATAGTGTGCAGACGCTAAGCTATGTTCAAACAAAGACTCAAGAAACTCGCACAACAATTTGTACGTTGAAATTACTAGTTTTATATCATTCACACTGATAACAGATGCCATTTTTTATCTATAGGCATTCACAGTTCACACTACTGTATCACGTTCAATAAAAAAGTCGGTAAGGTTTTATTCAAAATTATCACTAATAAATTACCTAAGTTTATGCATTTGTGTGAAGGCCTACTGACGTTGTATTTTTTACTGTCATATCCTTTAGTCTATCTTGATCTTAGTCGATCTTATTATCCTTTGGTCTATATGGTTTCAAAAGGTCATGACAGATGTTTATTGTTTTCAATGTTTACATTTTACTTTTATATAGTTGATCATTACAATTTGTATAAAAGAGTTTACTTTTAGTTATTTCAATAAAATAGATAAATTTTATCCAGTGTTAGTATTTATCAGCATTAACAATACCAGGCCACCCGTTTGAGTCACAACAAGTAGTAAACTAGCAAAGCAGTAAGTCAGTAAGTCTATGCACAGTAGAAGTTTTTCATAGCTCAAGAATTTATGTATTGTCTATGCTTTTCATAAATATTTTGACCCAGCCATTTAAGGTACTGTACGTAACTGTTCTATTACTGTACTGTATTTAATCGTGCCATTAGTATCTTTGACTATACTATATTGATCCGTCTACCTACATATACACATACACCTGATCCCATTAACGTTGTAGCAGATCTTTAGAATGAACATAAATGGTATCAGCAATCTGACACATACTTTCTACCACTAGCATGTTAACAACCCCTAAAAAGGCTAAGTGGTTGAAGCAACTATGGTATTGTATTAGCAAAATCACAAAGATTGCAACAAGTTTTTAAACTGTATATTTTACAGTTATAGGGGTTATAAAATGATTTTTGGAATTAAAAGGTCCATAACATTAAATTTGAATAAAGATGTTTCTTTTGTGAACATTTTATTATACAGCGATATTATTGGTTTTTATGAAAACCTAAAATAGAAAATTGAACATCAATAGTAATTTGAAAGATTATTATTACAACACGATTAGTGTATAAAAGAGTGGTGAAAGGAAATTGTAGTGTTATTCCCACTATAACACATTCAACAGGTTACAAGCAAGCAACGCAAATGTGAACAGCAAAGCATTGTTGAACGTCAATCTTTAACCAATCACAGTTCACTGTACAATAATCACAGCTGATCTATTATTGGTTTGATTGCAACAGGTTTCTCTCGGAGTGTATTCTTGAACTTCATTTTCTGTATTAGCTATTTTGAATATAAGTAGCTTTGTAATAATGGATCACCGATCACCTGAAGGAACTTGATCGGTTCGTCCATACGGATTTGTGCAGACTGTTTATTAACCAACTTTAAAATTATTTGAACTGAGTATAATGTAAATCTGTAATATTTTGATTTTCCTTTGATATTGTAACCAATGGGCGAAGCGTAAATAGTTGAATATACCCCAGAGAGAATAATTTAAACACCAGCGCATTCTGACGTCACCAACATAATGTCAAAACCAACGTCACATTTTACAATAGGATGAGAAGTCTACTTGCATTGTTCAAAGTCAATGACTGTACCTTCCAAAACTCTGCCACGCACTTGGTTACGTAAAAGCACAAGCAGAAAGGAGATGTAATAATTGTCTAGTTGTGTGAATCCCGCGCTGGTCTCGCTGACACAATGTTCGCTAACAACGCCATTGGATGTTTCACAATAGACAAGATTGGGCTGAATAATTGGATAGGAATGTCCACTCGGCGCTTTAATATAGCAAATGGTCCAGCAATCCGCTCCGTGACTAAAGATTCTGTATAATTTGATGAACTTGTCCACCCCTCGTAGAGCCTCGTAGTGAAATTTCAGTAAACTAGATAACATTAAGTAAAATGTGTCTAAAAAGATGTCTCTATGACACAGTGTATTCCACGCTTGAAGGATCCTGATCGTGGTGAAGATTATAAAATATATAACAAATAATCTGTGGAAAATTTTAAATGTTGCCTTCTTCGTTTTAAGACTTCCTCTAAAACCACTATCTTTTGAATGTACTTGATAAGTTTTCTTAAAGTTACGCCATTTCAACATTTCATACTCCAGCATTGTCACCTTTACGATATACTGTCATAAGTGTGCACAGTTTGATAACCAAATCACATAATTTTATGAACCTCTGATACATCTGTGTTTTATTTCCAAACAGAAACAACACTTAGACTAGGCCTATTGAATCATAAAAAAACTCGATCTTCTCATAAAAATATTTTAAATTTTTGTAAAATATGTTCAAATTTAACGATCAACTTTAGTTCTACCGGACTCACATATTTTCTTAACATGGAAAATAACCTATTATCTGACCGGCCTAATTGAATAATCGCGGAGATGCGACGTTGATCTGTTCAAGACGGGAGGGGAGGGGAGGGGGATGCGCACGACTTCTGCGCACTCGTCTGTTCTCCTACGGCGAGCACACGAGGTCTTCGCCGGTAAGATCGCAATTTTTCTTTTGGTGTGTTGGTTCGGTCGGAGTGACACTGTGTGTGCGACTTCTCCCTACATCAATCAGCTGATCGAGTGGCGTACCCGTGACAATCGTCGAATTAGCGAACAGCTGTTAGCCGAAACATAACCTCAAATGGAGAGCGAGAAAGTCGTACAAACGAAGACCAAGGAGGGAAAGTGCAAGATGATTGAAGGGGCTCTTCCGCTAATGCAGGTTAGTGAAAGTGGTTATGCTAGTTAGTGGTTGTAGGTCAGTGTGTGAGACCAGGGTCCTTCACCCTCCCCCCCCCCCACAACGGCATGTCGGTACACATTCCAGCACTTGTAACACAAAAAATATACTGTACTTGTATTAACCGGCAAGTCAAGAAATAAACGTAATTTACTTAAGTTAATCGGTTTGAATTAAGTTAAGCGAATAGACATAGAAACTATAGTAAACCGCGTAACGTACGTAAAAGGTTAAACGAACCAATCAATGTCAATTTCATTCCAATTGCTCGACTTCATTCCATTAATTTAATTATTGTAATCTTAACTAGGACTAGTTGTCAACACAATTGCACCATTCATTGAAGATTGCGACGATGGTCGTGACGTAACATGTCAAATTGAGGACGCGGCATTGCCGGTTAGAAAATAACTGGTTTTCCATATGGGAAATTCTCGAAAAATTTACCTGACTACCAAAATTGAAATCCAATTATACATGAAGCTATATTTGTTGGTTTATTTTTATCGAAGTACAATTTAATCCTTTCCGGCCACTCTTTTCATATGTATGATCTCGTCGACATCCCGTAACATATGTTAGTCTTTTTGAGCCTTACCTACCAATCATTTTAGGCCTACTTTTTTAATTTTGGCGTTTTTTTTCAAATTAATGTTTTTTAAATATCTGCAAGTGAATTGAAATGCCAAACTTGTAGGCTTATTACTTGATAAGAATAACTACAAAATTATACCATTTATTCATTTCAACTGTCTCCTAAATATAATTATGATGAATAATTGCTGATTTACTAATAATATTAGTTTGTAGTTTATTATGAAACAGGCTCCAGATGTTAATTTTTAACTTACACATGGCAACAGACTACTGGGTTCAGTTCCTGTTTATCTCCAACCTTTATCTACTGCTAAGATCACGAGACCAACCTAATCCATTTAACGTAACACCTACCATTTCCTATGAAGACAAAGGGAGTTAATGAATTAATTGACTATCCAATTCATCATTCATTACTTTAGTGGCGTGTATTTTATGTCGAACGTGAAGGAAGGATCAGCTGTGTCTTTAAGCCATAGGCCTACTGTATCATCATTCAAGGGCATTGACCAAGTTTCTAAACATCAAGCTACAGCACTGACTTTTCTCTGAATCTAACCACCGACTTTTCTACCATAATTTTCATACTACACCATTTCACAATTTTTTACCATTTCGGGATTTACCTCCACTGACTTCATCACCACCGTGACTAGCTGTGTAATGTCACGTGGTTCGTTATCACATTCAGCTCTTCTCTATCAGCTGATAGCCAGACTGACAGCTGGGCTGGTTCTGTACGTTCTGATAACCGCGGAACTGTACAGAGGCACTGCTGTTAATTGTTAATTGGACACGGCGTTGCTTCGCATGTATTGAGTGAGTCCAATTAATCCCGCACACCTTGCAATTGCAACCACTAGCGGTAACAACTCGGTTGGAGTGTTTTCTGTGATTTTTCCTGATGCTATATTTAGTTACCAAATTGCTTTTCTTTTTAATCTTTTTATAGGGCCTCTTTTTGACCTAAATTAGCCTCTCCATGCTTTAGTTTCTACGTAATACTAATGTCGCACTCTGGTCTACTTTCGGAGAGAAACTATTACTTTGTATGTCTTCAAGTTAACATTTCAGTTTTGTAAGGAACCAAGTGGAGTTTTTTTTTTACACACTGCGAGAAAAGTATTTTGGAAATCGTCATTTTCAATAATTTAACTTAGGCTTTACAAATATACTAAAGTCACACCTTCGTTCATTTCGATTACGGTACTGAAGTAATAATTTGGTAAAATAAAATAGTCAATGTCACAAGATGAAAACGAAAATAAATCATCACTAATTTGGATTATTACCTAATGTAGACATGTCTTGTACAAACAAACCCATCCTTATCGTCTGCAGGTTTTAAGTTGTCCTCTTTTTATCTAAATGTGGCTTTGTCATAATATAATTAATCTTCTAGTCCCAAATTACGAGTTCAGACGAAAATGTCATTAGCTAATATTGAGAGTTATTTTGTAATCGTTATCTATCGTTTCATTAAGGAAAATTGCCCAATAATCCTACAATGTTATTTGATCTAATTTCGTAGTATTTTGATTTTATAATCGCCCAAGACATTCTCAACATTGGTAATGTCGAAACTGGTCTGCCTTTCTAAAGTCTGCCCCATATCATAAACCCTAATTAGCTACTGTATCGACAAATAGCATTTGGGTTTAGAATCGGCACTGTTCGGGATTTAACTGACAACCTTTGGCTTTTGCGCCTACTATTACTCTTCCTAATCTTCTTTGAATTGAAACTAACTAATTACACCCCCAACAAATCAGCCATTTTCCAACCCCTTAACATATACACTTATCTTGAACCCTATGTCCAATAAAACTTGACAGAGTATACAGCTTAGAAATGTACTCCGATAGATTGAACATTCGGTTCCCATGGTGATGACTGAAATGTGAGGCTTTATATTCAATTGGGATTTTTCTAGATTACACCCTCCGCCAGGTGCTGAAATGGTAGGTGGGAGGGGGTGGGGGAGGTGCAGATGTGAGGCTTTACCCACCCTCTTCGTGATCCTTTACCTTCTATAGTGTAGGCACACCTGCACCCTACTCACACCACTGCGCCACAGGTTTAGAGTTCGAACGTAACAGATCGAGTAACAGAATGTGTACAGTAGTACAGTTAACATTGTATATTTGACAATATTGATAGTGTGCAGTGCATACGATTCCTATGCTGAATCTGTACCAGTGTTAAATCAACATTTTAATTTTGCCATAGACAGAGTGAGTCAATTATAATTATTTCTGTCAAATGCACCTTTTAAACTAAGCCAAACCGAAAGGTGGACTTATTGTGGTCATCTTTTATACCACATCTAAATATCAATGTATCGAAAACGAAGGGAAATAGAATTATATAGATCTTCAGTACCGGTATTTCAGTTAATCATTGTATGGGGAACTTGTTTACAAATTCAAGAATGTTAATTTATTCTTAATTAAGGCTGAGCTACAAACATATTAATTTGGTTAGACTGAATTGAGTCTTCGTGACTGGTTTGGTTTGTATCGGGGAAAATTGTAACGTTTATGTAAATTTTAAATTGAAAATGTAAAAATAGGGAAATATGAGTTTAGATACAGTGAAAATTATTTACGAAATTGAATTGTAACTAATAGTTTAATAAATAAAATGTCAATATTTATTTAAAGATTTTCCAATAACTGAATTACTACGCTGTAATTTAATTGTTACGTTAGGTCGTTAAACAGATGGCTAAATCTATATTGTCGCGAATTTGGCGGCAATTTGCGCGATAACGCGGGAATGTCTGCCGTCTGCTATCAGCTGATATCTCACGGCCTTGAACCACAAGCCGGACCGGAACAGCTGGGCTAATTATAATCAACTGCCAGCTCTTCCCTGATTGATGGTTGTATTTTGTACAATGAAATGTCCAAGAATGATTCATATAGCGTGCAGATAAGTTTTCTATGCAATGAAAAACGTTGGTTATTTCGATAACAAATATCTAACTAAATTCATTAGGCTAGAATCTTTTAACAAACTTTAATTGGCAAAATTTTTCGTATATGATTAGGAAATGTATCGAATTAAGTTTTTATGGGAATACCCAATTCGATGTTTGCTTACCTAGTGATTTATTTATTTATTTACCAACGGCAGTGATGTCAAGGTATTAATTTTGACGTTGATATCCTTTACGTATTCTGATTCTGGTCTGAACCGTCCATTATAATTTGTTTGATGTATTGGACAGAAATTGGGAATATGAAGTTTGATTGTTCTTTAATCATCGCCATTGAAAATTTACCGATATTTTTCTATGGACTGTTATGTTTTCATAAGTGAGAGTGGTAAGCCTATTCGTAGTTTCTAAATTATCTTGTCCATAGCACCTGTGGAAAGTTCCGAATGTATATCAACATTCATCAGAAAATTAACAGTACGAAAAAAGTACATAACCATGAACTAAATTTCATGTTCAGCTAGAGTCACAACTAGGGTAGCACTGAATGAGAGAATTGCGAGACTTTTTTTGCGACTTTTATAAAGTTCTGATCTGCAATTGTACACACTACAAGTACACGATAGTGTTTGATCTGTGTTTCGCGTATTCGCGTATCACATGCTGTGACAACACGAGGTCGGAGAGGTCCGAGAATAGCCCGAGCCGCGGAGGGTGATCCCATTATATCGTGAGAAGCCACGTGCTCCTCTTGGGATGACTGTACAATGTACAACACATTCACGTGATCTCTACACACACTGCTCGATATCGAGCATACACCGACCAAAATCGAGCGTTAGACAATCACTGATTAGCGAATTTCCCATATAGGGGATGATATATTACCGTTGGTGGCAAGGTAAGATTAACCGGTACAGATTTTCTTTTTAGTTTCAAGGTCCCCAGAGGCCAAAAACACTATTCGTTTAAATTTTATGTTGTAGTTTGCTTGTTTATCGATGTATTTTGATCAAACTTGGAACCAACTTGGATCAAACTTTGGAAACTGCAGGTTTGCTGCGGAGGGGTTGTGTTTAGTTCCAGTTTTTAATCATAAAAAGATAAAAATGTACTAGGAAATCTCCCCAATTGTTTTTCTCCTTCGCGTCCGTTCTGTTATTTATCAGCTGATTGTTGTTAGAATGTTAATGCATTTTAAATATTGTTTGGAACTCTGCATTCCTATCCTTTCACGTGTTCAAGCATCACAGCATCATCTCAATAATAATTGTTGTTTGTTAACAATTTAAACAATAACAAACTATAACAACAAAAACAATACCAGCAACAATGGTCGGTTTACCACTGACAGTTCTAAGTTTTATGTCTCAGCTATGTGCCAATAATTATTGGAAGGTTAAAGTGATTAATTTACTACATGTGGCTCAATTATTGCGACTGG